ATGTGTCGTACTCATTATCCGAAAAGATGTTAGATGACGATGATGCCGGTCGTTTTGTCAAAGACTAAACAATTTTACTTAAAGATGCTTGAAAAAAATATGTGAAAGTGGAGACTTAAATTATGTTTTATGACGTTTACAATTTAAAATAAATTTTTGCATGCATATAATAATATCAATTAATAAGTGTTTAAAAAATTAAAAAGTTACACTAATATTTTAGTGACTACTTAACACAAACTAGATTGTTATTAACTGGGCACATAGGAAGATACAGTAATACATTATAGCAAAAGTTAAATGATTATTATAAAATAAGCTTCTTACAGAACGTTTAGTACTTGTAGATATAGCTGGTATATTCTGGGCAATCGATCTTGCAGCTAAAGATTTTGGAACTGTTTTGACAGACGTTTTAGAGACAGAATCTAGGCTAGAGGCTGGATTAACTTGTACAACAATGCAAGAGCTTGATGAACTAGCGTCTTGCCCAATTGAGATTTCTATAAATTAGAGTTTGTTTTAACTTAAAATGAAAACATTGAAAATTTTAATTTTATACATATGTTGCAATTATCAACCACTGTACCATTTTAACATCTACTTTGTAATTTTTATTTAGAATTTTTATCAGCAACTGTTATAACTGATTCAAATAACTTTTTAAAACATCTAAGAAAAAGTTTATTGATTTTTAAATATGATACAAAACTACCTGGGTCTGGGATGTCTACAGAATTATCTAAAGAAATGTTTTAATTTAGAACAGCATCGCCAGCAATTTTTTTTATCAATACTTTTTTTCCAACTCTCATGTCATCAACATTAACTGGTAGAATATGTGCTGATTCTTTTCTAATGATCTCCATCACAGTGCATTCATAATCAAATAATTGACCACCTTCAGCACCAGATTTGTTGAGTTTTTTAAACTTATCCATTGTTGATCTTCTTAGGTTTTACCATTCAGTTGTCCGAACATGTTCAACTGAAACAGTGGAAGAAAGATCGTGAGCTACAAGAAGATTTCTAACTTCTTGCCATTTTTCTTTTCGATCTTGATTGTTGCATAATGGAGAAAGAGAACCGATCATTTTCTCTTTGTTTTGCAAAATGAAATTAGCCATAACAGTTTTCTGTTCTTTAGTAAGCATTCTCATAAAAGTTAGTTTTCTTTTACTTTGTTTTTATGTAATTATTTGATAGAAAACTCCTTTATATAGGATTATAAAAATATTAAATTATGCTTTTAGTTTTTCCAAAAGTTGCTAAGAATTTGCCACAAGGAAGTAAGGCTACGATCGCCACAAGGAAGTAAAGCTATAATTAAAACCAAGATGGTTACTTTAAAATTTAAAAATAGATTTAACAATGATAACAAGTTATTCACTGCAAATCCCTTTTCTCACTTAACTTAAGGTAAAGTGTAATTAATGTTTCAACCATACAGGCCTCGTTTGAAAATTGAAACATTTTTTTTATTCCCATCCACTAACTTTGCTGGTAGTGTATTATTCTTCTTTTTTTTAAGGCTTTTATCTATTTGTAGGCTAAACAAATATTTAGTTTTCGAAAAACCAAATTATTTTTAATATTTTTATCATTGCAGAAATAATGCCAATTTTTTTTATAAAATTTATTTTAAAAATAGGTCATTATTTTTTTTTAAACTTTCCTATGTTGGTTTATAAATATTATTAAAGCGATATCTTGTTTTGTTGTTTTTTAGTTAAAGTCAAAGTTAAATTAGTGCGCAATTTCAAATCGCTTTTGCGAGATATGTTTTTAGATTTTACATAAAAACGCCAATTACATAAAAACGTCATTGTTTTATAGGACGGCTTAAATTTTACAATGTAGTTACAAAATTTCGGCGTAATTACATTGTGAAGTTTACAATATTGTAAAAGTTTTATAGGATAGGGCCCTGGTTTTGTTACCCGGTTTCTACCGATGTAAAGCGAATTTCCACAAACACCCTGGCTCAATAAACGTAAAAAATAAAATAAAAATTAATTTGCTACCTGTAATCATAAGCCATTTCATAAAACTTAAAATATAAAGTATATCTAAATGAGGAAATATATAAAACGTGCATTAATTTTTTTTCTTAAAAAAAAAAAAAAGTTGTTTTACTACTATTGCTAGTGCAAGTAGATTTTATTTTACTAGAAATAAAATTCCTTGTAAACATTAAAAATCTATTAGTAATACGAGTAATTGTGCTTTATGAAAATAAATAAAAATAAATAAATAAATATTATATAAAATCGCTGGTAAAAATATTAGCTATTGCACAGTTTTTAATCGTGCAATATTAAAATTTCCAGTTTATTACTTGCTGACTTTTTAAAAAGAAAAAATAATTATTTGAAAAACTTTAAATTACATATTTGAAAAAAAAAAAATCAAATATTAGCATATTTTATAATCTTTTTTAAATGTTTAGTTTTAATGTTTTTTATTCGTTTAGTATAGAAAAAAAGTGTCAAACATCAAGAAAATAAAAAAATGTTTTTACATTTTAAAAAACCAAACATTCCAAAACATTTTAAAATAATAACATTTCTACATTAATGATTTAAATTAGTTTTGTGGTAGTTAAGTAAATTAGTGCAGTTAACGTCGATAAATATAAAAAGCAAATAAAAAGAATTTAATGACGTCAAAAATCATGTCGTGCTTATGCATTGCGCCGTTTTTATTCATCACAAGGCCTGCCTTCTGATAGGCTAATATATACTTTTTCTGGAGTGTTAGGGTCTGACACATTTATAAATAACATTTGAGATTCTTCTTTACCTTTAATTGGGCAATTTTAACAATTTTAGCAAATTTAAGTGAAAAAACCAAACTAGTTTAAAAAACCAAACTACTGAAAAAACCAAACTAGTTTAGAGAAAAAATAAACAAACCATAAACTGAAAAGTGAAACAAACTTAATGAATAATAAAATAAAGAATAAACCAGAAAAAATATAAAAGTATAAAACTAATATAATTTTTAATTTAGAAATTCAACTCAAATTTAATTTAATTTAAAAACATTTCAATTAATAGTTGTTTTTCAATTAATAAAAACTAATAATTTTTCCTATATTGTTGCATTGATGTAGCGCTCAGGTTGACTAATTGTGACATTAAAGAGGCGCGACTTGTTAAATCAGCTTTGAACGAGAGTTCAAATACTACTAACAGATAATTTTTTAATTTGCATCTTTAGATTAGGTGCTTATCGGGATTTAATGGGAAACATTTGAGGGACATTGAAGGGGACATTTATAATCTTTCAGAAAACTTTTCCACCTCATAGTTATTAAGACGCACCCACCCTGTTTAATTAATTTTTATTTGTTATCAACAACAACAAAAAAAAACGCCTCTCAACCAAAAAAAAACAGAAAAAGTGTATATTAGTCACTGATAAGAATAAAAACTTTCAGTGAAATAAGGCTTTAAAAATTGTCAACTTTTAAAAAATCTCATAAATTTCTATTTGTCAAAAATAAGGTTTTTCTCACCATAGTATCAAATTTACGTAAACAGCTGTTAAATAATGCACATTTGATCGCAACCCATACTATAATTGTTTATTGGTGTTCTGTATAAAATTCCCACCCACCCTTTTATTAGGACACCCCTGTTTATTAGATCTGGACTAAAATTCCACCCCTTTTTATCCCCCCCCCCCTTGTATTAAGCACCCAAGAACAGACATTAAAAAAAATCAAATTTTTAGTTTCAAATTTTGAAATAACTTAGTTTCTAAGTATTAAAGCTTGGATTAACTTTGTAACATTTTTTCTAAATTCTTTGTAGTGAAACACTTAAATTAGAATAAAAAACATGTATTATTTTATGCTATTATTTTTTATTCATTTTATCATTTGTTAAAAATTTTATTTTTTAGTTTAGTTTCGTATTTTTTTTTTAGTTTTTATTTTTATAAACCAACTATAAACTGGAAATCTTTCCAGTTTATAGTTGGTTTATTGTTAATTTTAGATTTGTTTATTAAGTGCATTTTTTTAAATGCACTAAATTAAAACATGCATTTTAGCTGTGGCCAAGTTGTGAAAACAAAATATTATATGCATGAAGGAATAAGGTGTGTGACCGCATGTGCCTCCTGAAGACTTGAATATGTATCTATACCGAAAAGTAAAATCTTTTTTTTTTTTTTTAACTTTTATACTTTTTTAATTTTTAATTTTATTTTTTATTTTAGTGTATATACATAGACTGACAGAGTCGATGTATATACACATAGAACATGCGAGGAGTGCTGCTACATCAACAAACAAATAGGTAGAATATGCAAGAAGTGCTGCTAGATCAACTGAGGATTTGACTAGTGCAGGCTACCTTTTTATTTTAATTTTTGGTCATGTTATTTAATTTTTTTTTAAGCCAACAAAATATGGTAAAACTTTCGTCGAACCTATATGGATTTTATTTATATATATATATATATATATATATATATATATATATATATATATATATATATATATATATATATATATATATATATATATATATATAATATATATATATATATATATATATATATATATATATATTACATATTTATATATATATATATACATATATATACATATATATATATATATATATATATATATATATATATATATATATATATATATATATATACATATTTATATATATATATATACATATATATACAAATATATATATATATATATATATATATATATGTATATATATATATATATATATATATATATATATATATATATATATATATATATATATATATATATATATATATATATATATATATATATATATATATGTATATATATATATATATATATATATATATATATATATATATATAGACACACACACATAAATGAACTGAAAGATTACCTAAAAAATTTTATAAACATAATTTTTAATACAATTTAAATATAGATAAAAAATGTTATGAAAAACTAATTAAAAAAATCAAACCTGTTTGGGACACTAACCACAACATGTGTGCACATTACATTAAAATATTGTACATCATGGACAATACCACCCAACTCTTCAATAATTGCAGCATAGTTTATTTTTTCCTGAGCAGTCATACCAGACAATAAAAACTGATAATTTTCATTATTTTTTATACTACTATTCTGTCCATGGTTGAAATCAATTTCATTATTTTTCAAATGTTCACTTAAAAGATTTGCTTGAGGTTTATTCTCTAATTTTAGTTCTCCATCCTTAAATAAATAATATGATTCATAAACATATAAAAAATAATAAAATATAAAAAAAGAAATTGTTTCTGCTGCTTACTTCATCACACTCCTTTATTATATTTCTGCTATCCAAATTTTCAATAAAATTTTCTAAATCTTGACTAGGACTAACTCTTTTGAGCTGTTCTAAAATTCGTCGACGCTCTGATATTCCAGGATCATCATATGTTATATAGTCACCTTGCGATTGTTCTGTATTAAAATCGTCATCCTTTTTTGTAAAGAAATCACTTCGATTTAAGCTTTCACTGCTTTTCTAAAGAAAAAGATTTCATTAATTTCATTTATTATTTTAGTACAATTCATTAATTTTACAGAAGACCATAAGAAATAAAATACTGGTGAATCTAAATTGAAGATTCGAATCTAGAATTTATAAAAACAAGATTCAAACATTTTGCGAAAGTCTTCTTCCACTCCTTGTGTTGACACTTGCAAAGTTGTTATTGGAATTAGTTCGACGACTGCGCTTACTCTTTGTTGTTGTCTAAATTTATAAGATCATTTATCAATATGAAAAAATAAAAAAATATGTTAAAATATTGTATTGTTGAATATTTAATAACTTTGGTGTAAGGTGCTTTGGTGTAAGGTGCTTAGGCCAAGAGAGGAAAATAAAAGAGTATCCAGAAAAGATCAAGTTGGTTTGGATACTCAGAGATGAAGGAAACATGCAAAAAAAAAATTGCTAACACACTTTGAATTGTATTATTTTGAAGGCGTTGAAATAGGTGCCGGACATTTGGACTCTTGGACTGTCTTTGAGACCTGATGGTCTCTAAGACTGTCTCTAAGTAACCTATTGTTGTTCATTTTTTAATACACTTTTGTTGTGCAGACAACAAACAGCTTAGTTGCAGACAAAATAAACTTTGATGAGAAACTGTGGAATTCATTACAGGTTAACACTTTTAAATATCAAGACTTGAATTAAGTGATTGCAAATTGCAATATTAGGAAATAAATATAATTATAAATCAAATATAACATATCAATTAAATACTCATGACTCTTTAATGCAGATTTATAAAATTAAAGGAGTTTAAAAACATATAAAAACTAACTTAAGCTACCTATAAGTATTTTAAAACAAAACAAAAAACTAATTAGAAGTATAATTTAGTTAAATTAGAAGATAAAAATATGTAAATTAGAAGTAGAAACTATTATTAATTTTTTTTGTAAATATATTTCAGCAAATATAAACATAAGAGTATAATTTCCAGTCTAGGGAAAGGGGGGAGGGGATATTTATTAATTTTTAGAAAATTTTCCCACCCACCCCAACCTTATTTAGACCACCCGTTTATTAATTTTTGCTTACTATCTAAAAAAAAAAAAAGGTGAAAATTGGCCTTAAAAATCAGAAAATATTTATTATAGTCACTCATAAAAACAAAATTTTTCAGTGTTAACAAGCTTTAAAAATCACCAACCAAGTAAATCCTGATTTATCAAAAATGAGCTTTTAATTTATTTCTCACCAAAGTATAAAACTTATTAAATTCTATTGAAATTATTATAAAACAGCTGTTAGAAAATGCGCATTTGACCGCAAGCCACAGTAAATTTAAATAGTTTTATGCATGTTTTGTAAAAAATATTAGAGTGGATTTATAAACTGAAATTTTTTTTTTTAAATACTTATATTGTAACATAATAAAATTCCCACCCCCTTTTATTATAAACCCCCTGCTTATAAAATCTGGACTAAAATCCCCCCATCCTCCTTGTATTAAGGACTCAAGAGTATTTGTAAGTTGTTATGTAAATTTTATTTCTAAAGATTAAATTAGTGTAAAAAAATGTATAAAACCTTGGTTGCTTCCATAATTTGTTCCATTTTTTTCTGAAAATCTTCATTGACATTTTCAGCGATGTTTTCAATAGTAAGGGTTTGTGGAACTTTTAAATTTTTTGTTTCTTCTTCTTTAGCTAAAGGCTAAAAGAACCAACCAATATTAATTAAAAAAACCCAACTTTTTAATTGCATATACTTGTGTAAAACTTTAAATATAATATAAATGTTTTATAAAAATTTGGCTATAAGAAAATATAGCTGTGTGTATATGTTAAACATAGTTATAAAAAAACTCACCAGCTTCACCGAGGAAACATTTAATGACATTCGAGGATTAAATGTAACTGGATACAATATTTCATCAACATGTTCATTTGAAGATAAACATGCTTCTAACCAAAAAGGTGAAACTAGGTACTTTTTATTGCGCTTTGCTTCCATATAGTCTTTATTTGAATCATTAACACGACCCTAACAAATAAGTTTTTAAATTTTGCAGTTAATTAAGTTTTTGAAAGAAATTTTAAATTACACTCTTTAGATTAATTTATGCATGTAAATTTTTTATGCAAAATAAAAATTAATATATATAATATATTATATTATATTGTATTACATTATATATATATATATATATATATATATATATATATATATATATATATATATATATATAATATATATATATATATATATATATATATATATATATATATATATATATATATATATATACATATACATACATATATATATATATATATATATATATATATATATATATATATATATATATATATATATATATATATACATACTATATATATATATATATATATATATATATATATATATATATATATATATATATATATATATATATATATATATATATATATATACATATATTAGGGTCGGTCATAAGTTTTTTTTTTAGAGTCGCTAACCTGGCTATGGTCTAGAAAGTTGTTTTTTTATGTACTAATTTAGGAAAGTATTTACTTTTATGAATTGAACAATGTCTTCTACCCGCAACTATAATTACAAAAATTAGCAGGCCCTATTATTATTCAAAAAAAAAGTTTTTCAAAATTATGTAATGTAGGTACTCAAATAACAAAATTTTATAAAAATTTCAAAAATAATAATTTTTTCATATAAAAATTATTATTTTATATTTTATTGCATAATAACTATAGTTTCTTAACTAAAAGTGAAAAATGTGCATTTTTACATGTTTTTTAATAACAATTTGTTTCGGCAATATGATTTTTTTAAAGCGATTATTATTTTCGAATTTTTTATAAAATTTTGCTTCTTTTGAGTACCAGGTTGACCTACTTTTGAAAAACTTTTTTTCTCCAAAATATTAGGGTACCGGTAATTTTCCCAATAAAGTTGCGCCCTTTAAATCTATCACAATTATTCTCATATTTGATATTTTATGACAAAAAAAATTTTTTATTTAGTTAATTGATATTTAAATATACCTGATGTACAAAATGAGTGCATTCAGAATCATACATAAAACGACATTCAGCTCCTAAATGTTGTGCTTTTTTATGCAACTCCATTTGTTTTTGAGCAAGTGCCTTACTAACAACCAATACTACACCAGAAAGTACACTAAGATTCTGAGAGAAATAAAACAAATCTTTTTGATATTATAAAAAAATGCATAGCAATAAATTAAAACATGTTTAAAAAAAGTTTTGCATACACTAGGGGTATGAATAAAAAGCACATATCATTTTTTCGGAAATGGCATAGCGGCAAAAGATGAACTTTTCTTTGTATTAACTTAAAACAATAATACTTTTTTCCAAATTAAAAAAAATCTCTCAACCAGTTTTATGGTTTTCACCCATTCTGTATAAAGTCATATTTAACAAATCAAAGAAAAATCAGTTTTCAGGTCCAAAAAATCTTTAATTGTTATATAACTTTCAGTCTTTTCTGTTTGAGCTAATTCAAGAGCTAATTTATACAATTACTTTAGGTAGATAATGAATAAAAATAGCAACAATATACTTTTTAAATTTTCTAAAAGGCTGGAGATTGTTTGACTGTCTATCTTATTATCTCTATTATCACAAGTATCTAAACATTTTATTGTCTCCTCAAATTTTATACTAACCAACCTTTGTTTGCTTCCTAATGGTCTCTAATAACCTTTAAATTTTTTTCTTACTTCACTTTCTATTTTGCAAAAAAATTTTTGCGCAACATTTTTTAAACATGCAATCCTTTCCGATCATTGTGAAAATTTACATCTTCTTATCTACTTTTTAAAACTTGTGTTTTATCTTTCAAGATGATGAGTTTTTTTATTTTTCATCAAGTAAATCTTCCTCTTTTAAAACCACATTTTTGCCTTTATGCTTTTGTGTTTGTTTAAATTCTTTTTTTTCCTTTTTAAGTCAACATTCTTGTCTTTAAACCGCATATCAAAAGTAAAAGAATTCATTAAAGATATTGTAACTAAAAACATTTATATATTGATATTTTTATCATAAAAACATATTACTATATTATTAAGTCAGTTTAAGTTTAAACTAAATTGTAAATGAATAAGCATTTTACTATAATTTGGTAAACATCTGGTATGTTAGTATTTTCTTCCCCTAATAAAAGACGGATGGTAAATTTTTTTACCATCAGACAACCTCCTATTTCAATACATTAAGCCGTAAAGCAAGTGTTATTGGTTATGTATTAAGTGTAATGTGGTATATATAATTTCAATTCTTTTTTCAACATGAAAAACTTCAGTATGAGATATTTTGTTTTAACAATTGCTTGTTGACATTTTTTTTATTCACAAAAAAATTTAAAAAATTTCACAAAATTTTTTTGACTTCTCCCTCTCTCCTTTCCCCTCCTCCCATTCTCAACAACCCATTGAAACACTTAGAAACAAAAGAAGACGAAGAAGCAAACTTAATGGTTGTAGCTTATCATTGTTTAAAATTTAAAACAACTGATGAAAAATCTTAAAGAATCATAAAACAGTCTTTCTTTAAATAAAAAATGTACAATTACAAAAATCCTTTAGATTTCAAGTACATGAAAAAAAATTAAAAAGCCCCCGCACCTACCTCTCAAATACACACATGATTGCAAATGGTTAAGATAAACTCTTCCCATCATTTTTACCAAAAAACAAAATATAATCTAAAAGTAGATAAATCAAGCTACAAAAATAACTGTCATGGTATTTTCGAAATTTTTTCAAGTGACCCTGCCCTTATTATAAATGCAAAAACTTTTTGCATTATCAGACAGCTGGGAACAAATTTTCATCTGCACTGGTAGAGAGTTTTTTTTCAATATGGAAAAAAGTATTATTATTTTAAGTTAATACAAGTAAAAAGTCATCTTTTGCCGCTATATCATTTCCAAAAAAATGAAATGTGCTTTTTAGTCATACTCCAAGTATACACATTTAAAAATACATTATTAAAACATGTTTAAAAAAAGTTGTGTATACACATTTAAAAATAAATTATTAGCTTTTAAATTTAAACTATTACCTTTAAAAAAAAACAACAGCTTAAATTATATTTTTCAATATTAAAATCTTAATATATTTATCAAACTCAACAGATAAAAACAAAAGTAATTATCACCTGATCTTTACTGACATTCATAAAAGTATTTCGATCTTTTTCAGGAACATGCATGTCAACTGCTCTTTGCATTGCTTCTGCAAATTGGATATCAAATGGCAAACTGCCTCGACTTTTACGATTCCTTTTAAAAGAATCTTGTGATAAAGCAACTGGAGATTTTACTGCATCCAATGCATCAGTGAAATCAAAAGATAGATGCAAAGGATTCATTAATCCTGTTGTACTTGAAATGGCAGGAGATGAACTTGATACTCTGAATTGAACATTTCCTGATTGTAAATTTCTTTCATTAACAATCGTTTTATTAAAGTTTGAGAAATCCAGATCATATTTAGTAAAATCATTTACAGATTTTTTATCTTTTTCTGTTAAGTTGTTTATTTTGAAATCAACTGCAGGCTCCTCAACAATTTCAATATACTTTTCATTGTTTTCACATTTACTGTTGTTTTCAACATTTAAACATTTTAATTTCATGCTACTACCAGTTTCTGGTGATTCTTCAGATAAAAGAGAATAATTACTTTCTGGAACTTTTTTTCCTAATCTAGCACATTCAAATAACCATTCTTGTCTTACGCAAGGAATATTCCATTTTAATGATGCAGCATACTTTGATCCTTCAGGCTTCATTAATACCAGATGAGTACTTGCAACCATATCATTACCATCACGCCGAGCAAAATAGTCTTGAGCTAGAGCCCCTACAGAAAAAGTATATAAAAAATATTGAACAAGTTGCAAGCAAAGAAAAAATATGTAGTATAGTCTCAAGCCTTGGTGTTTAAAACTTATAATAATTGTTTTAATAAACTCGCAATCTTAAAATAATTAACTATTGCAAGGTTATTAATGCAACATTTAAAATTCTTAGATTATTACTCACTGACTTTTTGAGAACGGCAAACAATTGGTACTTGCAAAACCACGAACTCAAATTTAAAAAATAAAAAAAAATCAATTATCTGTATGAGTTTTTTATATAGTTTTGATAGACAAAAAGGTTTGTACTAAAAATCATTTCTGTGCATCAATGCATTTTTTTAAAGCATAGATTCATATGTACACAAACGTTGACAATCTTAAATGAGTAGACCACTGCAATAATTAACAAAAAGATAGCTGATACCATTTATATAGACTTCAAGAAAGCCTTTGATACTGTGTCTCATTCTAAGTTACTGTACAAATTGCACTGTTATGGTTTTAGTATGAACTGTTAAACTGAATGAAAAACTTCTCAACAAGTAGTTCTCAATGCGTTTTTTTATTAAGACTCATCAAGCTGTTTGCAAATAACAAGTCAGAAATATAACACACCTCACGCACTCTTGCCAAAAAAATATCGGGACAGACAAACAGTTGTTGACTTAATATATCCACGGGAAATAAATATATTGCACAATAAAAATATGAAAAATAAATTTTATGATTTATTTTATGTTCTATTTACTCATGTGTTACTGACTAAATATTTATAAGGGCTAAAATTATGGGGTTTTTATTAAGGCTGGAGCCCTTTTAAGGTCTTTCCATCTCTGAAGATATGTTTTAACATATCTTTAATATAGAACAACAAATAAATCAATAAGAAAAAAGAATTCAAATTAGGTGGTAAAATTTTACCTAATAACTCTGCAAGATGAAATAAGTGTTGGCGTTCCATTCCAGTATACTGACTGACAGTGACAACACAGTTTTTCAATGGCTTGACATCATCTGCTAAAAAAATTGGTCGATAGAGATAACTTGAATTAATATCCTTTAGCTCCTCAGAGTCAATACTCTGCTCTAACCAACACACTGTAGCCTGGTAAAGGAAATTTTTTGATTTTTTATCAATTAAAAATATTCTCAAATAAAAATTTTTAGTTTTGATTTCAAAATTTCAAATTGTAAAACCTGTTATAAACTTTATTTTGTTAGCTTTTTATTTACATTTACTAAAATAAATTCAATTTAATCATTTTAAACATCTTTAAATTTAAAATTATAAAAAATCATGAATTATAATATGAGTATTTGTTATATGAACACTATGCAAAAAGATCTTTTAAAAAAAAAAATGTTTTAATTATAAATAGAGGAAAGAAAAATCTACAAAATAAAATAAAAATCAACTTGATATCTTCATAAATAGCAGTTTTAGCAAACTTTTAAATGAAACATTTTGAAACATGTTTCTGAAAAAAACGCAAAATAAAGTTTGTTAATTTTAAAACTTAGTTAAAATTATGTTAGTGTTGTAAGAAATTTTGTAAACAACATGTGTCATTTTTATATTATATTTAAAACTAATGGCCATAATATGAAATCATACATTATGCACTGCTAAATTTAATTAAAAAATCAAGTTTTATTTTTATTATAGAAGGAAAAGTTTTTCACGCAGATTCTTTGATATTCCATCCTTTTTAGTTTTTTTATCAAATAAATTTAACACAAAAAAAAACTTTTATTTTTAAGATAATTATTAATTTTACTTTCTAAAAATCTAAAATGTTTAAGGGGTTTCAGAACTCAACACAGTTGTGTCTTTTGAGCGCCAAAATATATGTTAATGAAATTTGAAATTTTATGGTTAAATTATTTATGGTAAAGCAAATTAAAAAAAAAAACTTTTTAAGAAAAATTATCATTTTAATAAATATTAGCACAAAAAAGTTGCAACTTTCATCTTGACAGAAATTTTGAAAAGACCTATTTTTAGAATGCAAAAAAAAAGTTACACTTTTACTGGCACACAAAAAATCTCAAATTAAAAAAGACAAAAAAATTAAAGGTTTAAGGATATATAAATATATACTTAAAAATCTTTATTAAACAGCATTCAACAACTATATCTTCTATTTCCACACTAAAATTGAATTTTTTTTACACATTTGAGTTTAACAGTTACTTTAACTTTTAACAACGGTTTAACAACTAAGTATATTTATTATATATATTTAAATACTATTATTTCAGTATTTGATGAATACAATTATTCATGTTTTATCTTGAAGATGTTCGTGATTTATCTTAAGATGTTTTAACTTAGATATTTCAATTTTACAAGATATCAATAATTCAAAGAGATGTTAATTTATTTAATCTATTTCTGATAATGAGTATAACCTTCCCACAAATCTATCAAGAGACTTCTCTTTTTTTTTTTTTAATAAAAAGCTATTGCAATTTCATGAGTTTTAATGTCATAGAAACAAATGTCAACAAGCATTGACAATTTTCTGATTGGTTTCCAAAAAAAAACATAAACCAATGGTATCACTTTTGATGTTTCAGCATATTTTATTTTCATCAAAAAAATAAAAAATAAAAAAACAAACATGGTTTTCATATTCACCAAGAAGCATGATATTAGCATATGTCTAAGAATTAATTATTTAAACAATTATTTCTAACAGAAGTAACTGCACAGCAAAGTACTGGTGAAGAAGTTGCAGAAACTTATATATTTGTACTGAACATAAACCTAAACTCTAATCAAGACCAACACCAGTTTCTGATGAATTGAATTTACCAGCTCAAAAAAACTAATATTCTACAATGGAAATTAATTGAGGTTTAAACAAAAAAACTTCATAGTGAAATCAGTGTCAATGAAAAGCGAACAAGTAATTTTAAAACCCAGAATTGTGGTGTCAGAACTAGGAACAAGAATAATAAATGAATTTTATAAATGCACTTTTTAAGAGTTGATTTCAGACTTATTAATGAATAATAAATAAATGATTTTAACAAGTAAATTTTTGTGTGTATTTTTTAGCACATTGTTGCAATATTTAAATAATTAAAATAATTAAAAGTTATTTAAATAATTAAAATATTCGAAAACTACAAATAGTGTTAAAACCTAGATACAACAAACCTTTTAAGTGTTTTTATGCACTGTTTTGAATATTTGTTTGAAATCTTTTTTGCAAATACATCATTGATAGTTTTAAGAGAAACATGGACTCCACAAACTTATCTGCTTTCCATTTCTAGGTTATATCAAGTTTTAAACCAAAACAACATTCAGCAACTAAACCAAACAAAGGCTAACTTATTATTAACTTGCTGAAATAATAATACCAACATATTCATGTCTTTTATTGTTATGTAAACTGGGGGTCTGGTCAATCATTGCTTACATATATAAATTGAATTTTAAAAAACTCAATCAAAAAAGGTGTTAAAAACATTTCCAATAAAATGAATTACCTTCTTTGAATGCCTGGAGTTTATTTAGGTATATAATCGGAGAATGAAGTGTCATTTTGTGTAAATAAAATTTACTTACATAATGTTCATAAAGATTCAGGTTTTGGTGTTAATAGTTTCTTTAGTCAATATTGTAATAAAGACATTTTAGTAATATTGGATCTAGAGATGAGACTAGCTATCATATTGATAACCTCCAAATTTATTTCAATTTGAAAGTGTATTAATAATCATTAGAGGTCAAAAAAAAGTTTTTCCAAAAAATAATAAAATTATTTTCTATATAGAAGCTGAAATATTAGATACCTGGGTCTAGGTATCTGCAATTAATCCTCAGCTTTTTATATATTTACATAACTAAGTGACCATCCATCAGAAAGTTAGAACAAGACAGTAGTATTCTTATTAAAGACTCAACCTTGCAGTCATGGAAAAGAAACTAAACCATTGCAGCTAAAACAGGTTCATTTACATTTAAAATGTATTTTAAGAAGTCTAAACCAGAAAAGGTATAGTTAAAAGAAGAAGCTCAAATTTGAAAACAGTATTCCATACAAGGACAAATAAGAGATTTATAAAAAATGTAATAATCAGTAAAAAAAACGGCATGCAGTAAATTGCTATTTATCAATATTACCATAATTATTAATTAGCAGCAAACAACTCAGTTTTTCAAGGTTAAAATTCACCACCCACTATAAACCTCAGAAGAGAGATGGCATTTAAGACCAGCACCCTGTTATAAGCAAACAAAATATGATCAGCAAAAACTTTAGAAATAAGACTATCAGAAAGATCATATCATTAGAAAAATCAGTAATATAAATGAGGAAGAACAACAGTTGATAAAGGAAAAATCAATACAATATACAAATCATAAAAAAATCATATAGCATTCAAATAAACTTATTCATGGGCAAAAACTAATGACTCAAGACAAAACCCAATATAAACAAATATGCAGCCCTTGGAATTAGGAAAAATGAGGTCTTTACTGTTAGTGGTCGGCAAAAAAATTTGACACAAAAAGGGTTATCATAAAAAATAGCAATGAGGTCGGCAACTTTTTGCTGATCTCAAACACTTTTAGGTTAGGAAACTAGAAACAATTTTTTTTTTTAAAAACAAAGATGCAGATTTAGGCGGGTGCCTAATATTTAACTTGGTGTGTTAGATTGATTCAAAATTATAATTAATTTCAAAAAAGTAGCTTTTTTGAAATTAATTTTAATTTTGATGACCATCGCAGATGACCATCAGACAAATCCTTGTTGAAATATTGGCAAAACATTTTTTTATTAATTACTTAGAAAACTATATATAAAGTAAGCAAGAACATGAACTAAAAACTATAAGTGCTTTAAATAAAAATTTAGTTTATATTTTACTTTTAGATAACTGATTCAACATCTTCCAATTCAGTTTCCCACTTAACACAACAGCCTTATGACTGACAACATTAACCATGACTAGGATTCAAGATTTATAAACAATAAAAATTTATGAAAGAGATTATAATATTTATTACTATAATGTTTACATTTAATACAAATATTACATACAAAAATTGATACAAAAAATTTATAATTGCATGAGAATATAATACTAAAAATTGTAATAAAAAAAAATACTATTCTAAATTAAAGAATATTATACATTTATTTAACCATAAAATTAAAAAAATTACAGATTTATTTATAATTTTACAAAATTAGTGTCACTTGTATAGTTAAAAACTAGTCATTGGAGTGACACCTTAATAAAATAAACAAATAAAGCAAAAAACAAACAAACAACAAAAAGTAATAATATAGATAATGACTAAAAAATAATTATAATAAAAAGAACAATAATTATTAAAAAAAGCCAAACTAATAACAAAAAAGGAAAAAGTGAATGAGCTGACATGTGAGATAATGAATAAATAAAACAACACTTAACAATCAAATTCTGATCGTTAAACGTTATGTTATCTCATTCATTCTGAAAAAAGAGATTAACAACACCACAGATAAAAAAAAAAAAAAAAAAAATCCGCTACAATATAAACAATACACGTATGAACATGTATACATAAATATACATTAAAAATAACAGAATATATTCAAGATTGCAGTTTTGGTAATCGAAACAAAACAAAAAATATTTTGAACATACTATATCATAGTAATATTTTATCAAATAAAAACTTAATATATGTTAGCAAAACTGTTAAATATTTTCACTCTGTGAGATGTATAACAAAACACTTATTTAGTTAAACAACTCAAAAAAGAAGTTAAAATTAAAATTTAATAAAACAATGTTACCAGTCACTCTGTTGGATACCTGGTCATCATCAGAATAAAATTTGTACAAATATAAAATATACTCATATAAAAACAAGTTACCTCTTTAGGATTTATATTAATTCTTTTGTTATAAGTCAGAGGGACAATGACATGGTCTGCTTGTTCATAGTTTTCAACAATCAAACCGGAGTATTCTTCAATAAGTTCTTTTATACGCAAACTTTGTTCTGTATCATAACGAAGTACTAGGAATTTTTTGTTCTGAAGTATGGTTTGTGTTTGAGTTTCTTCATTCGGTACAATAGTTTCTTCCGGTTGTAAATTAGCTATAATATAAGTTTAAATTTATATTAAATGTGTAATTGAAAAAAAAAAGGAAAAGAAAACATTTATAAATTAAACAACAAATAAAATCAACTAAAAAGAAGAATAAATAAATATTTTAAAACAAGAAAAGAAAATTTTAAAACAAGAAAAGAAACATCTAAAAGAAAATAAGTAAAGAAGTATAGAAAATAGATGTTAAAAAAAAAGTTAATGAATGAAATAAATAAAAAGAATGGAAAGAAATGGAAAGAAGATTTTTTTATTTTTTCATATATTTTTTTTGTTTTATTTCATATATTTCTTTTGTTTTCTCTCTAAATAAATTTTTAAAAATTTTTTTAAAATAAATTTTTAGGATTCTTTATTTACGATTTATTTTTTATTTAAGTGGTCTTGTAGTAATGATTTTTCTTTAGTTTTTTAGCGTATAAAAGTTTAATTTCTGTTAGTCATTTATTATTTTATTATTTAGTTATTTGATTATTTTTAAATAGTGATATCTAACTTTTTATAGTGTTATATATTTTTTGTTTTTATTTTCTTTTTAAGCATTCATTATAGATGTTTTATTCAACTGTGTATTATTATTACTTCTTTTTTTTCTTTTCTTTATTTGTTATTTTTGATTTATGTTGTACTTTTCTTGTTGTTGTTGATGTTGTTTTTTGTTTTTATTGCCAAAAGAGCAAAAGAGAACAAAAGAACATAAACATTTTTTGTTTTGCTTGTTATGTTTGTTGCAACTTTTGTTTTGTTTTAATTTTCTCAATGTTTTTCTGTTTATATTTTATTTATTTACTTTGTCATTTTATTTGCAATATATTTGGGTTATTATATTATAAGAAAAATATATTTACTAAACCTTTATACTTTTTTAAAGCAGTGGTTATTTTTATGACATCGTTAGTTTTATCAGTTAATTACTGTTTGTAACTGTAACTTTGTAGGTAAAAACGACTGTTGTATTGATAATTATACTGATTTATTTAAATTATTTAAATTAAACTTATTAGTTAAAATTGAAAAAAATTATTTTATTCAATTAAGTTCAAATTACTTTTATTTTTACAACTGGAACATATTCACCAAAATCATTCACCAAAAAATTAGACATAACAGAAAGAATACTTTTTTAATTATTTTTAGTAAAAGATCATTAGAAAATTGTTCTTGTATAATAATCTAATTTACTATAAATTTATTAGGTACTAAGATTTTGAACACAACTGTTTTTTAAAATCTGGTTTCAAGCTTGTAGTTGATATTCTAAGCAACTGTAATAAATGTTCACTTGTTAGATTAGCACAACACTTTGATTTAACAAATTTCATAGTCGAAAATAAAGATTCAAATGTATATGTTGAACCAAAAATTGAAATAAGTTTTGTACTAATCCTTTTTAGTTGAGGATACTTAACTTCAGGAACTATTTTCCGAAAATTCAATTAAGTCTTTTATGCAGCATTTGAAGATTTTTATCTTCTTGGAGATCTAGTAATTTCATTTTAAATTGAGATGTTTCTTCAAGTATATTTTCTGGTAATGGACAACCATCACTAATAATATCAATTAAAAAAGGATTTACTAAAAATGCTAATAATGATTTAAGAGCATACAAATCTTTAAACTTGTTTTGAAAGTCTTCGAATAAACTCTGCAGTTTTCTCCACTATGATTCAATCTTATGATCATCATACTGAATCGTAGGATTAGGATCATCATACTGAATCGCAGGATTAGGATTATGAATAAACTTCTTCATTTGAGGAAAATGATTAAAAGTTTTTAATCATTTTCCTCAAAGGCAAGATCTTTCTGAAATTGAGCAATTTTTATTTGAAAACTAAATATAGTCTGAGCAAGATCAGATATATTTTTTTCTTTTCCCTGAAACGACAAATTTAGATTTGTAAATGTTGCATTACATCAGTCAAAAATATAAGATCTGGCAAAAAATTCATATCATCAAAGATTTTAAATGTCTTTTGCTTTTCAAGCAAAAAAGATTAAATTGGTTCTAATAGTTCTACAAATCAATAAAGAACGTCACTACTTGAAAGTCACCTTACACCACAGTAAAACGACGACACTTGGTTTGTCATCAAGATCTAATAATCAGAAATGTTTGAAATTAACCTTTGAACTTCGCTATTATTAGGATCTAAAACTAAACTTAACCCTTTACTTTAACCCTAACCTTTTAAATTCTCTATCGGTGTAAGGATGTTTACTTTTTGCATGTTCTAAGCTATAACAAAACTTGCTTCTGTTGTAATATTTGATTCTTTGCTGGAAGATAAAATATTTATTTGTTGATTTTTAAATATCATTTTAAGCAACTCGATATGATTTTTTTTATGACATGAATTTAATGGGTATTCTTCAGAAAAACACATATGTTTTGTTTCATAGTAACATTTAACATTATATGTCTTATTATGAGGAAGTTCAGTATTGCAAATTAAACACATAAGTTTATTTTCTTTTTCAATAAATGCATATTTTTTTTGTCCAATCACCATGAAATAATCTGTTCTCATCTTCAATTTTTCTTTTCTTACTTTTATTGTGAAGAGCATTATACTCACCTTTTACTATATTCATTGTTCAAACAGTATGTCTTTCGGATATATTTTAAGTTTTTATTATTAGTCAATCAATAAAACTTTTGAAAAGAGCCACATGCGGCTCGCGAGCTGCAATGAATTTCTAAGAGCCGTATGCAGCTTGCGAGCCGCTATTTGGCCATCCCTGGTCTAAACTATAACAGTGTGGAAACATGGATGTTAAACTTAGTGTGAAAATATGGATGTTAAACTTAGTGTGGAAACATGGATATTAAAAATATATTAACTAATAGTTTAAAGAAATACTTAAATAAAAAATATTTAAAAATGAATAAAATTTGTAAAGTATAATTTACAAAACCTTTTTGTTGTATAAAAATTTTAATGTTCAAATAATTATACTTGTTTACTTACAAAATTAAGAAATTCTAGTTGTTAAAAAAAAAGTGAAGAAAGGAATTTAGTCCAAGAAACTAGTCTTCTTTAGCCTGTTCTTTAGTTATAGTCATAGATTTATTCATGGATTTTTTCATTTCATTAAAAAAGTCCTATTTAAACTAATTATTATTCGAACTTTCATTAGCCAAATAATATCTTTGTTCAAAAACAGTGGACTGAAGTAAAAGAAAGTTGCAGAAAAACCAAATGTTTCTGTACAAACTGTAAGTTTGATGAAAATGTACTTTTAAGCTGTAGGACTGTAAATAACAGTCTATTAGAAATTAGACTGAAGGCATATCAACTGAAATAAAAACCTAGGATGTCAGAGCAAATGAAGGCACAGCAATATAAGTGGGCCAAGAAAAGAAAATTGGAGCAGGGTAAGGATACAGACACCATTTTATCAATAATTTTTGAACATTTTACTGGCATCATTTTAGCTTAAATAGAAACTATGCACAGTATGATTTTAAATATGAGAATATCACAAAAGCTGAATATTTAATCTTTTGTTTAAAGTGTCACATCTCAGGTGGTCTTTTCTGACAAATCCAACAAAGATTTGTCAGAAAAGATGGTTTGGGGAACTATTTCTGTGTATGAAAAAAGTTGACTACATGTTGTTGAGAGGATAATGGACCAGAAAAAGTACATCGAATTGCTAGAAAGTTGTCTAGTTCCTCAAGCCAGGGAATAATTTTGTGATAGTGAATGGATTTTTTACCAAAATAGTATCTCATGAAGTAATTTGGTTTTTCACAAATCAAATGTGATAGCCAATATATGCCATATATAGACTCATTTTTACATTTTGTTATTTTAGAAAACTTGCATGTTCCTTTTTATATTTTGTTATTTTAGATAACTTGCATGTTCCTTTTTATATTTTGTTATTTTAGATAACTTGCATGTTCCTTTTTATATTTTGTTATTTTAGATAACTTGCATGTTCCTTTTTATATTTTGTTATTTTAGATAACTTGCTAGTTCCTTTTTATATTTTGTTATTTTAGATAACTTGCATGTTCCTTTTTATATTTTGTTATTTTAGATAACTTGCATGTTCCTTTTT